AAAAAATGTCGGGTCGGGACTGGGCTTTTTATTCACAAAGTGTTTAGGACCGGGCCGGGCTTAAGTAAAAAATGTTTGGACCGGACCGAGATTTTTTGAACTTGGCATTATTTTTGGTCTGGGCCTGGGTTTTTTGTTTTACAAAATATTTTGGACCTAGCCGGGTTTGAGGATAAAATTGATGGACCGGACCGGGTTGAAAATGTACGGCCCTTGCAGGTCTATAGTTGGTAATGAAAATTGGCAACACTGTGTCCACCATTATTATGACGTGACACGGCGTTCGGCGTCCTCACTCAACCACTCCCACTCAACTCTGCTGTTTTGTAATTTGGCAGGCGCCGGGTGCCGTGTAACTTAATAGTGGATTGTGAATACTAAGTAGCAATGGCGGTTATGTAGTTTTTGTGTTATTGTTACAAGCTACGCCACTTGACATTAGTACATTACACGTTTTCAATTCCGACGTTTTATCCATTCGAATCGGTGCTAGAGAAATCACTACATCGATGTTGTTTCTGAATTCAAATTCGGTGAGTACTTGGTGACCTAATCATTGTTCGTATTTTATCGTATTATTTTCCACAGTCGAGATCAACGACAAACCAGTATTGATATTGATGGTCCACTCGCCGGTGATGCACGGAGAAGAGGAGTCTCAATGATATTAGTCTATGTAGACTATATATAGGTATATATATAGTCTGGATAGATTTGGTGAGTTTTTCTTTGAAACGCCCTAATTGCTACTACTGGTACTACCTATTTTATCTATTCTGTGGTACTACTCCATGTGTTTATATTGGCATTAACTTTTGAAAATATTAACAATCATTGATATTCCCTTGCTATAACCTAGACCCATGATGGCCAGCTTTAATGTACTTGACCTTTTTCTGGATTTTTTCTCAGGTTTCTCTACTGACATCAACGACTTGCCCTAATAATTAAATCACCAATAAAGGTAATTCATAATTAATGACAAAAACATTTAATTAACATATACTTTGTTATGAAATATATTTAATAACTTACTATTGTTAACAAAAAATATTTTAAACATTGAGGTTTAGATGAAACTCCAATCTCTGAATAAATGGAAATTCTGAATGTTATTGTAGACATTCTATGATTTTAAATGTTACAAAACATTCAGAATTTTGTTTTACAGAGGTATCACACAAGATGTCTTCAAACAAATCAATACTATGTCTACTATAGGGAAATTTGTTAAAAAGCAAAGTGTGCCTATTATATACCTTGCTTTTTAACAAGTTTCACTATAATGGATGTACTTACTGTCGGTACTACATTTGATGAGAAGAAAATCAAACCTATGGGTATTGGGGAGTTTTGAATGTTGTTGTACAATATTTAAACAGTACAAAACATTCAAAACTTCCCATTATCCTTAGGTACATACTACAATCAAACAAGAAGAATTTATTTTTATACTTAAATTTATTTTTTTTCCTAATTCCAGTGTCCTTCAAGCAATACTTAATGGTTTAACATTTTCAATTAAAAATCTTATAATTTATGTTATTGTATTGTATTAGAAATTAGGTTTAGTGCAATTTGGAAATTCTTATAGAAAGTGCAATATGGAAAATAGTACCAACCTTCAGATTTTAACTTTTAAATAATTGTGTTTTATGTAAGATATGAAATTTAAATACTACTCGAACATTCAGAATTTATTGAGTCTAACCTACTAAAAAAATATGTATTGTAATTATTATTGAGCGATTAATCTTTTTTTTGTTCAAAGAAAGCATCAAAATTAAAATATCAAAACAATTCACACTAGATAATACTCTTAATTTATTGTAATCTTAAAAGAGGGTCTTTCTTAACTGAAAATTGTTTTACGTTGATATTTATAACTAGGAAAAACAAAATGCTCAAATTAATTCATAACTTGGTACACACTTTTATTTTCTGTACATTTTTAATATTTTTTTTGCAGTTTAGTACTCAAATATTTTATACTATATTATGAAATATTTTTGATTTCTTACTATTATTAACATTAAGGTTTAGATGAACAACCATTAAAAGTAACACCCATTTCTGAATAAATGGAAATACTGAATGTTATTGTAAGCATTCTGTCTTTTAAATGTTACATAACATACAGAGGAATCACAAAATGTCATCAATCAAATCAATACTATGTCTACAATAGGGAAATTTATTAAAAAGCAAAGTGTTAAATATTCCTTGCTTTTTAACAAGTTTCACTATGGTGGATGTATTAATTTTACTGCCGGAACTAACAATTGAGAAGAAAATCCAATCTATGGGTATTGGGGAGTTTTGAATGTTGTTGTAAAATATTTAAACAATACAAAACATTCAAAACTCCCTACTATACTTAGGTTCGTACTACAATCAAACAAGAATTTGTTTGTGTCAACCAATCTATGGGTATTGGGGAGTTTTGACTGTTGTGTACAATATCTAAATAAATACCAAACAGTCAAAAATCCTTACTATCCTTAGGTACATTCTACAAATCATAAATTATTTATCTTACAAGAATATATTAGGTGTGTTTTGGCTGTGTAACCGGCGCTAACCGCTAGTAAACTGTTTACTGGTATCGTTTTCGCGATTACGGTCACTGTAACCAGGTAACTAATTTCGTGAATGAGTTTAGTGAGTTTTGTAACCGTCGATTTCGACTTGGTAAGAAGGTTTACTGAGGATCGGTAATCGGTTACTAAAAAGTATATGATATCAAATGTTATCAAATATTTCAGTAAACAAAATGTTCAAGCAATTGTTTTGGCGTTCCAGTAAACGTTTTCTAACCGTATTCTATAACCATAAACTTATTTACTAAACAGTTTACTCCGCCAAAACACGCCTATTGTTATACACAATCTTAGATTCTGAGTGAAATGATGTGTTTTTTTTTTATTTTTTTTTTTTTTTTGTGTCTGTACACGATAAGTAGTCGAATTAATGCTTCGATTTTCAACTTCATTATCTTGTTCGAACGTGAATGTTGTTGGTGCAATGGGGAGGTCAAAATTTAAAATTGCCAATAGTTTTCAAAAGCGCCGGGAAAAACAACATAATAAAATGTTATTTGTAAGGTAAAAAAGCGTGAACATTTAATGCAAGGCTCTTGATATATTGTTACAATAGTAGTTGACAATTTTTAAAAATACATAGGCCCATTTTTTTTTTTTATAAACATTTTAAAATCGAATTTTGACAAAATTTATCAATTTTTAAATTTTATAATTATTTTGTAGCTAAAAATGTATAAAATGTTCAACTTTTATAGCTAAGGATTGTAAATTTAAAACAAGGTTCTACTTAAATAGGTTATATATATTAAATTACTTTATTCACAATAATATCATCAAATATATACTTGGTTATACCATAGGCTGACTGACCGTTTTCGCTCAAAATCGTTTTTCTTATACAATGATATTATGTCATTAAATTCAAATTTAACACCATCCATTACATTGACCCAGTTGTAACTTCTGTACAGCAGAATGACATCCACTTACACACCTTTTTTTTGTGTGTCTTTTATCAACTTTTAGGACAATAAAAGTGCTTAGATTTTCTTCAACAGTATCTTTTCTGATAGGAAAGTGAATCTATTTGTTGTTCAGTCATTTAACGATTTGTTGAGGAATAAATCGGAAAGTTTTGAAACTTTGCAAATATTTTTGTTAGAGGCACCTGATTAACCAAAAAAAAGTCGCCATTCCTCCGAGGTTAGGATTTTAAGTGCGATTTTTCAGTTTTTTCAAATTATTTGTGAAAATACTAACTTTATATCAAAAATACCTCTATACGAGTACAAAAATGTAGCTGATTAAATTTTAAACAAATTTGGTTTTATTATTTTTTTTTTATAGCTTGAATAGGTTAAGAGCAAAATTTAACCACGTCTTATAATATTAAACGCTGCGCGCTATAATACTATATATAGGCTGCACATAGGCGGAGCGCCGCACTTGTGTCCACTAAGAAACGCAATATTTACCTTTTTTATATACATTAACATATTACAAATAAACATTATTATTGATATACGCTATTTTATAAATAATTTAAATATTATATAATCATACAATATATATACACCGCGTATTATATTTTACTAAAATATAAATATTAAGTATTTTATAACAGTATTATATAGGAAGGAACATTGAATAATTATTTACAGAACTAATACAACATTTTAATTTAAGTTGCTTTATTTACATTTTTTTTTTTACAATTAATTATTTATTATAATTCATTATACATATTATTCAAAATTAATTTTTTGCGTTTGGATGATGGACCATATACTATTTCATCTTCGTCCTCATTAGAATTATCGTCGGACTCGTCTTCAATAATTTGCTGTTCACAATTTAAGCATGAAAGGCCAGAACATGTTTAGCACGCAGTAGAACACAATCCTTGTTTTCTGCGGCCGCATGCTGCTCCACAATTTTTTGTACACGCACATGTAATTTTTTCTTAAATACATTTTGGCGCTGGTTCATTCCATGAAAATATTGGTTGCAGTCCATTCCTGGTTGTTTGCCATCCCCAAACTTTTGCATTTTTTTCTTCTCCATGCCACATTTGAACCTGGTGATATGTTCGATATATATGCTGTTTTAAAGCCTCTTTTGATGGGGGTAAGCTTGCCAATTTGAATTTATATCCAGCCATTTTTCGGGTGAATAATAAATATCGATATTCGTCTATATTTGTTTGACTTTGTGGTTACCAAATAATTTAAATGTTTTTCCCGGCTTTAAAAATGTTTTTAGGTGTGGAGTTTGGCAGTTAAATACATTTACTATTTCTTGAAGTTCTGGATATTGGTTGAGAAGTTTGAAATGTTTTAATTTTCCAATATTATAGAAGCATGAAACAGTATCGCATCCACTTATAGCATGTAAAAATAAAATTAACATTTTTATGCCATTAACCTTTTGGATATCTTGAATTGAATATTTATTTTTTTAATTTCCTCCATTTCCAGGTTTTAAAAATACGATCTGATTTTCTACCGGTGTATGAGCTATTAATAAAACCAGTAAATCGATATCTTGATCAACTACAACAACGTATTGACCTTGTGCCCTCTTTATAGCTTCATTTACAATTACAGTGTCGGCATCGTCATTGGCTTGTTTAATAATGTAACCTTTACTTATCAAATATGAAGACAACATTTGTATCAATCTACTTTTGTTTCTTATATTTGATAAGAATGATGTTTGTGCAACAGTTAGAACCATATTTTCATCAAATAAAATAAAAAGTATAACTATACTATAAGTATACTATAATAAAGTATTTTTTACACGCCGATTACGTTCCATATTTTTTGTACTTGTCGAGCTTTCATTGTAACCGTCAAAAACTATAACTGCATTGGTCCCAAAATGTTTTGTTATATAGGATAAGTACAGTTGAAAAATTTGATTGAAAGTTAAATTTAATTGCCACATAACTCTATGTAAAAGAAAACCACCATCTACTACATATAACGCATTACCAAGTGTAAAACTTTCAAGATTCAAAGACTGTATAAAATCGTACAATATCGATTTTTTTGTTTTCCTCATGCCCATTTCGTTAAGTAATGAAAGTGGATATGGAGACAACTCGACATATTCAAAATAACTTTTGAGTTCTTCATTGGATGTTTTCATTATAGAAATTCTTTGAAAAATTAATAGTGGGTCTATAGATATTATTTCTTCTCTTATTCTAATTGAAGAATATACAATAGCTATAGGTAACACTGTTGATTCTCTTAATTAACCCGATTTCATAAGCTTTATGACAGTTAATAGTTGTATCTCCTACTACACCAGTTGATATTGAAATTATTTCATTTAGTGTCCACTAGCATGGAAATATGGGATCATTTTTTCAACTCATTGAAGACGTAATTTCCAATTGCTCATTCTTTCAGCCGTTATATACTCTGTCATTAAAGATATCATATCAAAATATTGCAACCAAAGTTTAGATGTAGCGCCATTCTCTTTTAATACATCTAATTGATTTTTAAATTATTTACTTAATTGTATTATTACATTTTCACTATAGATTTGGTCAAATTCAATTGGATTATAATTCAAATTTAAAAATAAATCGTTTAACTGTTTTTTCTCTTCATCACTGATTGTAAATTACTGTAAAATAATATTTGATAACGCCAAATGGACCAACGTATGTCCTCTTACAGCTCTGGAGTATGCATGACCAGTGAGCATTTTATCTGCAGTTATCGGCGCATAAATTGTACTAAAAATTTTCCAAACTATTTTACCAAACTCGTCCTCTCTATTTAACGCCATTTGTAGTATACTGCCACGTAAAGTAAGGCTTTGAACATTAAATACTTTACGACGTTTATTTAGGGTGGCCAGATATAAAATTCGAAAAAAGATAAGATAAGAATTTTTCTATTAAGAATAGACAACTATTTTTGATGAAATGCTTAAATATTTAAAGTCTTAAATCTTAATTGATAACTAACATATACATATTTAACTTACTAAAATAATTTATTTTGGATATTTTATCACAATTGTGAATTTTAAAGTTATAAATATTTTTTTGTACTTATAAGTATAAACTATAATAACTATAATATAGTGTAATATGAATATATGATTTAACTGGTGTTCGAAGTTGATGCTTGGGTATTTGTAAGTATTACAGTTTTTGATTCCTTCGGCAAATATTTTTCGGACGACTGTATATGTTTTAAAAGTTTTTTATTTCAAAATAGAAAATCCTGAAACTCAGAACAGTTCTCGGTGAAAAAATGTTTTACGACTAACATGGCTCTAACAGTTTTAAGTTTTACCATCAAATCGGCTTTTATCATCAGTCCACAATTTATTCATGTCGGAGAAAATTCCTTCAACATTTGCATTAGAACCTAAAAAACACATTAAAAATTCCACAACGATTTTTAAATTCGGAAGGTCTTCATCGATATCCGCTATTTGAAAAACGTAGGTCCATTTTTCATCCAACGTGTTAAAAGATTTAATCTTTTCGTTTTTCTGTAAATTGGTTTTAATAATAGTAAACTCGTCAAATAATTCTGCCTCATTAAATGTAAGATTAGGGATTACATTTTTCATTAATTGTATTGCATTTGAAATGTTTTTCCAGGAGAAATCGTCTTCTATATTTTTTAAAGTAATCCATGAAACTCCATTGAACTTGCATAGTGTTGGATTTGTCCACTCGGTAATAAAGTCTGAACATGTGTCAAAAAAAATTGTCCGGAAGTTATTATATATCAATTTTGTGTTAAAATTGATTCATCTCTTAAATTGTTTAGTAATTCAGTTTCCTTAATCGTCATAAAATTGTTAATATTTCACGACTTTATTTTTAGTAGCAAAGTGTCTATATGACTTTTTACTTCAACGATAGACAAATTGGCTGTTTCGACACTTTTAATTGTATTAAAAAAGAGTTCACATTGAGTTTGAAGAAATATTGTAAGAAGAAATGACAATGGATTTTCAAAAAAATTTTAGCATGGTTGGACATTTTACAATAGATAAAAAATAAGACTTTAATCCCTCAAACATTTCGATAAGTCTTGTCAACGCCGGATAGTGATAACCAACGAGCTTTTGAATGTCCTAATATTGATTTGTATTCTATATTAACAAAATCACAAAACTCTTTTAGTGAGTGGACTCTAACAGTATATATGTTACGGGCAAAGTGGAAAATTCGGACAATGTATACAATGCCCGGGCATTATATACAGTGACCGGGCATTGTATACAATGTCCGAGGTATATTGGGCAATGCAAATTGTGAAGTATTTATACAAAATAATCTGCATAATATATTATGTTTTTATTGCAAATTATTAATATTACATTATTATACATAATTAATAATCATCAAATGATAAATTAGCTTAAATTATACATTTAAAATATTGTGAAGTACATTTATTCTAACAATTACATAATTAATAATTAATTAATTTTTATATTATTATTATTTTTATTTATACTAATTTATTTCAAATAATTTAATTTTTTTTTTACTAATTATACTTTTTATTATTCTATTATACTATTTATACTAATTAATTAAAATTAAAATTAAATTAAAAATTAAAAAAGTTCATATTCGTTTATCAGGATCATCTAACAAAATATATTTTATTTTTAAAATTATTCCGTTTAAATTTATTCCGTTAAAACACAAACGTGCCGAAGAGGTGGCTTACATATTATTGGACATTTTTACAACTTTCGGCGCTCCTGCAATTTTACAGTGATAATGGTAGGTAATTCGCGAATCAATTTGTAACCGAAATTTGTAAAATGTGGCCAGAACTTAAAATAGTCCATGGTAAACCTCGTCACTCGCAGAGTCAAGGTTCAGTGGAACGAGCTAACCAAGACATCGAAAATATCCTTGCTACTAGGTTGCAGGATAAAAATACCAACAAATGGAGTGAACAGGCCCGTATTTAGGGGGGGCAGGGTGGGCCATTGCCCCTCCTGGTGGAACTTGTGGGACGGTAATTTTTTCATGAACTTTTTTTATTATTAAGCCAACATAGTTATAACTTTAAAATTATGTAAAATATTTTTTTCCTTATGTATTGTGATTAGGTGGAGATTTCTCCAAAGCTTATTTTAGGATGATATTCTCTCAAATCTGTTTTTATACTTCTTCTTCTTCTTCTTCAGCTTATCGGCCCATTAAGTGCCATCGCTGTTTTTATACTAACAATAATAATTCCTTGGATAACTTAGGTATAATGGCATGATAGCAGCCCGCAGCAAGTGTTATTGTAAATAAGTAAAACACAACATAATTATAATAATGTCTATTTTACGTTTAAGTTATACCTACGTCCTGATTATCCAAAAAAAAATTTCAAAGTCTAACCACATAGGCAAAGTGTCAGCAGCAGTTATTGTAATGAGTTATTTAAAATATGTGCAGCGCAACCAATACCAATCAAATTTGTGTTAATTGATTCTTTTAACTTGTAAAAAACATTGTTTTTTCTTCTTCTATTAACACCTCCAAAATTTGTATTAGTGTTATCGGCTGAAAAAGCTATTACTTTTTTTAAGACGTCCCAGTGGGATAAAACTTTTGAAATATAATCAGTTAGTAATAAAGATGTTTCCCCTGACAACTCGTCAAACTCAAGTATTTTAGTTTTAACTCCTTCATTTGGAATAAAATAACGATTCATTACAGGTACCATTTTTTGAGAATGGTGATTTGACGCGTCCGTTAAGACACTAATAAAATTACATTTAGACAGTTCAATTTTTAGCATTTTATTAGCATAATATGGATAAAAAACATTTTTTATTATTTATGCTGTTTTTGTTTTGCCATAAGAAAACTTTTTGTTGAATAATTTCCTAACAAGCTGAGATGTACAATCCATTGATCTTATACTATGATTATGTTTACATATATGATAATATGCAAAAACACCTTCATCGGCGGATAGATTATTTTGATTTTCGTTAAAAGATTTTGTATTGAAAAAGTCGCTTACTTTTTGGGATTTCTCTGCATCACTGGTTAATTTATGTCGATTTGTTTTGATGTGTTGGTTGATATTTGACTTGCCGCCGTGATCGATACTAAAAATACCACCACATACAGTACATTCCACCTTATCTTCCTGGCCCATCTTTTGACATTTTGTAATAAATTCGAATTCGTTTGGTAAACTTTCGTTAAAAACACATTTTCTTTAAGGCATAGTTATTATTTTAATCATTATTTATTAGTTCAACTGATATGGTAGATTTTAAGATATACACAATAAATGTTCACACACGAAACGCTGAACGCCAACGCCACCTGGCTAACTGACTAACTGAGAAACTGGGAATATATAAAAATACCGACACTACGAGAGATATTATCATAATCTATATTCTATTTCCAAATAATATACACATATTGTGCTATATTATTATGTCTTATCGTCGGTCGCGACGTCGTGATCGTAATCGTCTGTATGCGGGCTGTGATCCATTACGACGAAGACCAAAAATAACTTTATATTCGAATAATCGAATTCGATACTTACAAATCGGTTATCGTAATAATATAGCAAAAACACCATTATTCTATAAATGCATAATAATATACGATATACATTTACTCCGTAAACCGTAATTGATATTTAATACAGATAGATGAAGATTACCTATATTTTTAATATTTAATTTTTTTATTTACATATTTTCTATTAGGCTTATTAAAAAAACGGGACAATAAAGCGTCCCGGAAGCACATGTCGGGCAACGGGACAGACTTCTGAAATACGGTACTTTCCCGTATAATAGTGGACGTCTGGCCACCTTCGGTTTTTTATAGGTTTTTTATTTACAATTTTTAAAAAATTGTCATCAATTCAAAAAAAAACACGTTAATTTGAAATTAAATAAAGGACGAGCGGAGCCGCAACTGTCCCTTTATAGGCGATTTAATCAGGACATCACTATTATTACTTATTAGTAATCTCATCCGGTTTTATACGATCAATTCTCGCGTATTGTTTACGACAATTAATGTGTACTTTAATAGAATCGAGTCCTCGCAAAACACTATCTTTTTCTGTTAATGAGAGATATTATACCTTTTATTTTTACTACAACAAAATCATTGACAGTTAATTCGTTGTCACAAATAAAATAAACGGTATCAGCCATCACGATTACTTAATATTATTAATATTTAATACTCTGTCGAAAATAGTCAGCAAAGAGCACACGAGCGATATTCAGTATTACGCACTGTAAATGTAAAAGTAAAACAACGAACATATACAAAATATCTCCGTTAGAATGCGACCCTGCCGACTGCGTCGTTCAACAATAAATTGGTTATTAATAACTAATAAGTAATAACAATTAGCAGTGTTATCAGGAAAGGACGCAACGGTTGGGTCAACCGAACAGCCACATACACAACTACAATAATATAATTATATAAAATAAAATTCAATGTAGGTACCAACATGCTATAAAAAAATATTTATATTTTAGTACAATATAATACGCGGTGTATATTATATTTTGGAGCTTGAATGACTGGACTATTGGTACTTTGGGGCGGTCATAAGTAAAAATGTTCCAGTTGTTGAAAAACAAAAGAAAAATAAAGGAAAAACGGGAATTTTGACGCAAAATCTGTTTTCGAGAAAATTGATTTTGGTTTTTGGTGCAACTCTTAAACAAAAGACCGTATAGATACATGAAATGTTGATATTAGCATTTTCTAATTTTCTATACACAAATAACATTTTAAAAATATTTTGACTTATTTTGAGCTGTTTACGGACATTTTCAGTTTCCAATTTTTTTAGTTTTTTATTCTATAAATATCAATAAAATTTTATTTGTTGGGTAAAAAAGCTTGACAATTTAATATGAGGCTCCTAATATATTTGTTTCATAGACATGAAATACCTAGTATATTATTGTGTGGAAACACTGGAAGGGCGGGAAGTGAGCCATTTCAGTTGCGATCGACGTGTGCAGCACGAGCCGCAGGCGAGGGCCGCATTTTGCTCAAGACTGAAATTGCCTTCCCGCAAGAGCCACACATACTATTTTTTGTCGCGCCCCTGCATTCATCGACCACGGCAAGGGTAATGCAGGGATCTATGCAACAACTAGTCTATAATTATACAACAATATAATATTACATAAAGAAACGATTTGATTTTATTTATTTTTAGCGTCACGCATGGAGGTTACAGGGCCGTAATTAGGTGGGGGATTAGGGGTATAGATCCCCCCAAAACTTTTTTTCACTTTTAAAATTTTGATCAAAGTATTGATAATGACCATTCATGTTTGCTAAAATCGTATATCCCCCCAAATCAAATGCCTAATAACGCCACTGGGAAGGTTATAAATTATAATATGATTATAAGATGTAACCAAAAGTCTATGTTTTGTAAGGACCGACGATCGTGCATGGTATATATTTCTGTGTCTGTTTGTGCAGGGTATACGCGCTTGAAATGTGCGAGCAGAACTTTTAGGGATTCCCACTTTACCACCAGCTGGACGAAAAAAGGACCCTTTCCAACGCTTCAACCGCTTTAACCAACATTTCAGTGCAGGCGTGACAAAAAATATTAAAAATCCTTAGTCACAGTTTTTTTTATAAGCATTTAAAGATTAAATCTTGACAAAATACGGAAAAATCACAAATTACAAGTATAACATATTATATTCAAATTTTATGTAAAGAAAATCCATTTTACTCTGTTATTACTTATTTTATAAGTGAATTGACACAATATAATTTTAAAATTGTTTTGGTGACGCCTTAAAATTTAAAAAATATTAATTTCCAAAGTAGTTCAACACCACAGGTCTTCGACGGTCAGGTAAACGGCACGCTTGTGACAGTCTTTCTGTCCAAACGTTTTGGCTGGACCATTAGTGGCGGATAGGTAGTACCTGTTGGGCGGAGGCGCTCGACTTTCAATCTTCTCTAGCAGCCTATTTTGTATGGTTGAGTGCACAGTCTGTCCATACTTATAGGTGCCGGTCGCGGGTAACGAATAGGTATTCGGCGCCGGTACTGCCTCAGATACAACTTTGAAACGCCTAAATAGTGCATTTATGTCAGTTGAGCACAAATTTATAATACCTTCATAATAATATCCCGTACCTCGTATTGAATTTATTGATTTTATTGCGTCGTTACGGTCACACTAATAATAATAATACATCCTATCTGAATTTTTAGGAACGCCAATATTAAACTACTTGGGATACAAATATACAATTACCTAGATGACAAATATCTGTGATTCATCATTGCCTAGCCGAAACCACTGGACGGATCTTGCTGAAATTTGGCATATCCGCTAAGAAAGGATTTTTGGAAATTCAATCCCTAAGGCCTAAAGAGGAAAATAAGGGGTTGTAAGAATCTAATAGTTGCGCCATCTATCAAGCAATATCTTAATTGAATATACAATATTTGTTTTAAAATACAAAACGTACGAACTTGATATTTGGAAGATTTAGTGGTTCCTCTAATGATCTAGATATGCAAAAAGAAAGTATGTATACATTAGGCGTAGCCGCCTAGGTACATTATATGTATGTTTTTAATTTTTTATATTATTATTTGTATTTAGTGGTACATTTTTCTTATACATAATAAGATAGGTATAGGTATTGACATATTTTTCTTTGACTAAAAGCCAAATATTACCTAATTAATAAATAGTCCAAAATAAATGTTAAAATTAATATGGTTATTATTCATATAGGTATTATAGGTCATAGCCCATAGGTGTACATAAATTATAAGTGTAGGTACCTATATTCATTATAACTATGTATACACGATAAATTTATAAACTCTTTTTAGGTAGTAAGTAGGTACCTATCATTATGTCCAATATATTTGCTAATTTACAATTAACTATTGCCATAGTCCATAGGAATACAACATAATATTAGATACTGTACCTAAATAATATTACCTTAGTTCATGAACTCGTTGCTATATGAATATAATATGATCATTGAAGTTTTGATGTTACCACAATAATCAATACCATAATGTCTATATTATACCTACATTAATCATTCATAACAAAATCCATTCATCATATATCATATTATAATATTATAAGTTAAAAATTATAATTATTATAATTATTATTATTATTATTATAAGTTAAAAATGATAATATTGATAATATTGATAATTATGATAATTATGATACCATTCATAAAAAGACGGCAAATGTATATCATAATAATAAAAGATAGTAAATGTATATCATATATTATATGTTAAAAATGATAGTTTTTATAATTATGAACTATATTATGCGGCAAATTTAAATAGACCAATCAGAAGCATGAAATCGATACCGGGTCCATAACAGAGTGCAGTATTGAAACTATGTTAAAATACAAACGAGATCATTCAGGGTGGAAATCGAAACTTTTTTTTTGTTCATTAATGGTTGCTTTTGGTAGTTTGGTTGCAGGGTATATATGCAAATTATTTCACAAAGCTAGGTACAATTATTTTGGTTTGTCCGTAAAAATAAAATAAAATAACCCCCCAAAATATATTAATATATAAATACAAGCTGAACCGGGGTGCACGGGTAAATGTACCAACTCTATATGACTCAAACTTTGTTCAATTCGTTATTTAATATTCGGTGTATATTGTTTAAAATTAATCTTAACTTTTCCGTTGCCAGGAATAAAAATTCTGATTCGCGGCAGTATATTAACAGGTAGGCAATCTACCTGTGGTAGATTGCGGACTCCTAGTTTGTACGTAAGTGTACGATTTAACTCTAAAGTATCAAAATTCAAAGTTATATCAAGTTTGTCGTATTCTACCTAAGGTGGTTTAATAAAATAAATTAATACAAAATCCTAATCTAACCTGTTGCTCCACTGTTGTACTTTTACATCCGGATTTCCTACTTTTCCGGTGGATTAACCTAAAATGTTGTTTCATAAGAACCTTCTCTGTGATATACTCTTTCGTTTAAAAAAAATCAAGAAGATCTGATAAGTAGTTCCAGAGTTGACCCTGTACAAAGATTTTCATTTCACATTTATTGAGTTAGAATATATAATATATTACATAATATTATATTGACAAAAAATTATAATACATATCAACAAAGGTGCCGTAACCAATAGCATGCAATATACAATACACTATTATTATTTCAATCCGCAACTTAAGGGGATTGGAAGCGGCGATTTTCTGTCTTTATCTAACACACGTGGAACATAGGATTATTGACGTGTTCTATGTCCAACGTACCGATTAATCTAATGAAGCGATAAGAATTCTGAAAACAGATTTGAATTTGTCGTCAAGTCTACTTGAGATCGACTTTCCCACATTTTTGATTTTTTGATTTAAACTTCTCCAAAAGTTGAAATTTGTAAATTTTTTAAGTACTTTTTATAATATATCATTTTTATGATTTTGGTGGGACAATATCAAAAATGTGGGAAAGTCGATCTCAAGTAGACTTGACGACAAATTCAAATCTGTTTTCAGAATTCTTATCGCTTCATTAGATTAATCGGTACGTTGGACATAGAACACGTCTATAATCCTATGTTCCACGTGTGTTAGATAAAGACAGAAAATCGCCGCTTCCAATCCTCTTAATACTTTGTATTATTATTTATTATTTAGTGTGCACTTAAGAGGCCATAACTCCGGAACCACTTACCGCACAGCGTACAAACTTCACAGAAACCATCTACATATCAATTTTAATATGCCCTGAAATTATCTAAATCGGTTTGGTTGATCTCGAGTTATAAAATTTATTCAAAATGTAGGTAAACTTATATTTATCTATATAATATATAGATTAAATAGGTACTTCTAAAAATCCGGGATGATCAACTATGACTTCAATACTATTTTAGGTACACTCTATACACATTTTTTTCAACTACAAAGCTGTACTAATATAGCCTATGGATTATATTTTATCTAACACCGCGCTGTATCCTGATTATAATATACTGTTCGCATAACCATGAGTGAAACTCACGGGCAACGCCAAGCGGGATGGCTAAAAATTAAAATATAATATAATTTTGCTTCCATACCTATGTACAGCGAATTACACCCAAAAGGAATTAATTAATCACAATTTTTTAGATTCTGAGCGGAGCGATGAATGTATTGGTTTTACAATGATGTGTGTTTTTATATTTTTTTATTTTTTTTGTGTCTGTCACACGTTTTGGGACAGTAAAAGTGCTTGGATTTTCTTCATCAGTAGCTTTTCTGATAGGAAAGTGAATCTAGTTGGTACTTTGGGGGGTCGAAAGTATAAATTGCCAGTAGTTTTCACAAGCGCCGGGAAAAACAACATAAAAATTAAGGAAAAACGGGAATTTTTACGTAAAATTGGTTTTCCAAAAAATCGATATTGATTATTGGTGTAACTCTAAAACAAATGAACGTATATACATGAAATTTTCACTGGTTGTTTATATTTGCATTTTCTATACACGATAAAATTTTCAAAATATTTTGATTTATTTTGAACTGTTTAGGGACATTTTCATTTTCCATTTTTTTTTAGTTTTTTTTCTAAAAATATCAATAAAATTTTATTTGTTGGTTACAAAAGCTTGAAAATTTAATAGAAGGCTCCTAATATATTGTTTCAAAGGCAGATGATCCTAAATCCTTAGTCACAACTTTTTTTTATAAGCATTTAAAGTTCAAAAATTGACAAAATATGGAAAAATCACGAAAATTAGCAAATTATTTTGAGTTAAGAATTCGTAAAAATTTTTCTTTTTAAATCTAAGATTTGAAAATGAAACACAAGATTCCTTATAAGATTATCTACCTTTATCAATAAAAAAATCTCTACCGGACGGTCAAATTAAATTTTTATGAGCGTTTGAAATTCAATCATTGTGATTAATAAATTATAAAATGTTCAGTTTTTATAGCTAAGGATTACAAATTCAACACAAAGGTTCTCATAAATAGTTCATACTATAACCAAAAAATCTAAAAAATATATGAACACGCTTATTTTTTACAGACATTTTAAATTCAAATTTGGACGAAATTACATACCTAGAATAACTATTTTAGTTATTTTGTTGTGATTGAATAATATTATTCGTGGGTACTTGAAACTTCTAAAGTGTACTATTATATATCTATGATAGTATCACGGTTTTTGTTGATGTATAACGCGTTACCAGTACCTAATGGATATTGTGATATGATTAATTTGGAATTTATTATAGGTACCTATTATAGGTCAATTTTTTGTTTAATACCATAGATATGTATATAATGTGTCTTATACATAGACTGACATACCGTCTCCGCTCAGAATCGTTTTTCTTATACAATGATATTATATCGTTGAATTCAAATTTAATATCATCCATTATACAGTGACCCACTTGTAACCTACTGTACAGCAGAGCGACACCCACTTGCCCACCTTTTTTTTATTTTTATTCAGCTAGTCACTTATAAAATGCATCTTCTTTTTTCACCCTTGGCCTCTAACAATCTGGGGTCTGCGGCCGGCCAAACCCAGCCTTTTTCTACAACGCATACCATAGGTTTAATTGACCTATATACCTTATTTTCCGGAAGTTCCTTTACACCTCTTTAAACTCGTTCTTCTCCATATAAAACAATCTATTTGAGATCTATAGCTGACTATAGAATTTAAATATGGCTTTACAATTATTCTGCCTATATGTAACTATAATATTATGCTACAGCTAAAAGTTATTATTGGTATAATTTAGTATAAACGCTTAATATATAAGTTTAAAACATATATGCGAGATGGACAATTATTATAGTTTGGAAGTTTGCAATTTACAAAACTTCCAAAATGTTATAAAAATTAATTGTTTGAAAAATTTTTACCAATCAGCACCGAAATTAAACATTGGATCATAATTGTATTATGATAGAAACGTATATAAGTGAGCCTATTGCCTACGTAATTACTAATTACCAATTATTATATCTATAGGTTCTTCTGATGTCGGTTAAGGACTTACGATGCGTTTTTATTGACGAATGCTGATTTTTTTGACCGCCGATATACGTCCGGCAATGGCAGCGTGTACGTGTTCGGACTAGGGTAACTACTGTCGATACGTCCAAATTGCATCGTGCGACTTTTGAATGATGCTTTCGGTGCTTTGGGTCGTACTGAGTCCATTTTTGGATAGTAAGTGTTCGGTGCTGGCAAGTGTTCTTCGATATCAAAACAAAATAAAATGAGTTCATGTAATATATATAGGAATAGGTACTATAGCTGAATAACCCAGCTTAGCCTGTGTGCAGTTTTTTTATGTTATAACATTTTGGTTCATACCCACTTTGCCGAATTCCAATTCGCCGACAACTCAATTTACCGACAAATATACCAGTTTTCAAATATTTTTAAAATATTCCCTTTTCGCCGACAGTCTAGTTTGCCGACGTCTCGGTTCGCCGACAAATTATTAATAAAGTTTTAATTTTCCCGATTCGCCGACAGTTGACAATGATCTTATCGAAAACGGATAAGAGGTTCATTTGGATATAACATAGAAATAAAAGGATGCCTTTTTCATTTTGGGCAATCTATATGGCGACAAGTACAAAAATATGGAATCATTTCAACACCGATAGGACACGTACAGCTAACCACCTAGAAGGTTGGCATGCAGCTTTAAACCGGAGTATAAGTCGACCAAAGCCGAACATATTTGTGTTGATAACTGAAATAAAAAATCAACAACAAAATTTTGAACTTGATCTACAAGCCCAGAAAAACGGTAATCTAAAACCACTAAATAAAATGAAATTTCGAAAGCTTGAAGAAAGATTAAAAAATGCAAAGGATAGGTAAATATTATAAAACAATTAATTTTTACATATATAATAGTTATTATATAATTAGTTTTTATTTTTTTCAGATTGAAATCAGAAGAAATTTCTTTAATAGAGTATGTCGATATAATAAAATATCATATAATCATACAATAATTTTATAACTTTTTTTATTTATATTTACTTTTTTATATATATAATATTATATTTATAACATATCTACTGACCATATTTTATACATGAATAATATTTATAATTACTTTTATTTTTATATAATATATATCTACTGATCATTTATATATGAACAATAATTTATACTTACTTTTATCTACTGACCGTTTATACATGAACAATTTATATTTACTTTTATTTTATATATAATAATTAAATAATGTATCTACTGACTTAATGTATTAATAATCATTTATACATGATACATTTGTATTTACTTTTATTTTTTAATAAGTCGGCGAATTGGGAGTCGGCAAATTGGGAACATGTAAATAAATAGTCGGCGAACTGGGGTGTCGGCGAATTGAAAGTCGGCAAACTGGGATGTCAGCGAATTGGGATTCGGCAAATTGGGTTTCGGCGACGTGGGAAGACACCAACATTTTTGTATCAATTTATTTTATAGGTAGGGATATCCTTTAAATCAGGTCATTACCAATATTAGTAATTACATAGTATGATCATCATTGATATTATTATTTATTAGACAACTTTGTTTTATTTAAAGTAAGTTGTTTCTGGCGGGTGCCTATACCTGCCTACTCTTCTAAAAAGTAATAAGGTCTTATGACATCGTTGTAACGTTATTACATTATTGTGATAAACTCACCAACATTTAAATTTATATATGTTACGCCGAGTTTATGAAATTGCCGATTACATGAAATCGGCAGAAAAAATGTTCCTGGATGTGCATTTTTTTGATGTGCTATTCGTACGGCAGGTACTACTATTTGTAATTATTTCATAATAACGTGTTAACGAATTCATGTATTCGGCAGAAAAAAGTCTGCTTAATTAATGTAATTAGCAATCAAAATTTGCCGATTTCGTGAATTTGGTATCCAAGTTGCCAATTTCATGTTGTCGGCTGATTTCATTATGTAATAGGAAATTTCATAAATTCGGCGTAACATATATTTTATTCATACAAAAGCAGTTGAACCCATTTAAGATGCTCTAGCTCAAGACAATTTCCCACCAATAACCTCATTTTTACGAATCCCTTGATTTTGACAACGTAATAATACTATACGACATACGCATAATGCGATTTTCCGCTTAACTGCTTAAGACGCTATTATCTGTTTGGAATTTAATCTGTTTGTCACAACATTTTGTAGGTTCCTCCCGTGTTTTAATGCTGCAGTCATTGGTCAAGTGATTTATTCTGCATAATAATATCTTAAATACTATTCTACCGCCGCGCCGCTGAGAGCGCTACTCGTTGGCGCATCCAAATAACCGAGCTCCGCGTTTTCGTCATAATAGATATTACCTATGGTTTTCGTACCCTAGTTGTTGCAACGATGGTGGCGGTGGCCAGCGTACTGTCAGGTTTAGTGGTGGGAATGCGCGAAATCAGACAAGTTTTGGTCGCCTCCCAAGTAGCGGCTCTCTCAGCGGCCGCAGTATACTTGGTAATATAGTAGATAGACCCGTTTTTCGTTAACGGTGGTTTTATAAAATAAAATTAAACTTTCAAACACATAAATTATAGCGACCTTCTATCTCACAAAGACACCTAGCTACTATACAGCATAGCAGTACCCACTTGCCCATCGTTTTTTTTCCTCCGATTATTTTGAAAAGAACAAATCATTTTCAGTTATGACCACCCAAATGTACCAACTATAGATTCTATTTTAGTAGACAATTTGTTTCCAGTCACAGAAATAACACATAGTTGTAAAATCAATACATTTATCACTGAGTTTAGAATTGAATATACATACCTATAGGAAATTATCTAAAATATAATATTATCTCTCATAATAAATTTACATTATTATATTTTGAATTACCTTGCGGCAACGGTCTCCTTCTGCCTAACCCGAAGTCTGGCCGGTAGAGTTTTCCGAAACGAGTCTGGTCTCTAAGGTCGTACAACAGACCGTGTCCGTGGCCAGGGCTATTAGCACGTTTTCGTCCGATTGTCACAGATGGAAGACGGCGTTTGGTCAGAGTGTGCTTGACAAAGCCTATGGTTGCGGGTATGGTATAATAATTGGGCGCCGGTCCTGTGGTGCGAAAATTGTCATTTTATATAAAAAAATATAGTAAATAAAATGGTACCTTGGTGGCTTGGTATATAAAATATATCTTATTGAAGTACATTTATTTATTAATTTATTAGTTATTACCTTTATAACATGGGCCATTACGTGATATTATACTCATAATTATTTTAGTAAACACTGAAGTGATAGGTAATTGGTAGAAATACTTGCGGTAGAAATTTAGTAGACATTTGTATAATCCAATAACAAAATGTAAGGGGGTTTAAAATGTTGACCCCCTTTCCTACATGGCCTTGAGTCAACGCCCTTGCAGACTGCAGTAAATACGATGGTATATAAAACAATATTTATTATTTAATATTTTAATAATAAATTATGATAATAGGGGACGGCCAACAAAAGGTTCCTCTGTTATCATCGACATTCATAATCGTGGGTCTAAGGTATATAGTGGACTGGAAACAAGCAGCTTATCAGTGGCCTCGAAAGTATGTACAAGAGGCAAATGAGGGGGTCGCCATCATAATCGAGAGTTTACAGCGCCATCTGTATAAAACACGGACTGAGATACAAAATGTGACGCTAAATAAAAACTACTGGAACTACAGACTTTAAACATGTATTTGAAATAGTTGGATGTATAGAAGGAAATTATTAAGATAAAATTAAAAGATAATTTCGTTCTTATAGCTTGTGCAACAAGAAAAATTCCATTTTTATTGGAAGAACCACTGAGAAAAAAGTTAAATAAACTGTGTGAGTTACAAATAATAGAAAAAGTAGAGGAATTCACAGAATGGGTACATCCTATCGTTATAGCTAAGAAACCAAATGGAGCTATAGGTACTACAGATATGCCTAGATCCATAAAATCTAAATAAAGAAATAAAACGAGAATATTTTCAAATCCCAATTGTGGAGGAGATTTTAAAACAATTGGCGGGGGTAAAAGTTTTTAGTACTCTAGATGCAAATCAGGGTTTTTTACCAAATTAAATTGACAAATGAAAGTTCTAAAATGTGTACATTTTCCACGCCAATGGGTCGATATAAGTTCTTAAGAATGCCTTTTGGTATTTCTTAAGCCCTAGAAATATTTCAAAAAAATTTAAACAAACATTTGAAGGGCTAGAAAGTGTTGATACATATATAGACACATAATAGTCAATGGTAAAAATAAAGAGGAACCGGAACATTATGAGAGGTTGAAAAAGGTACTTCAAGGAACAAGTGAGATAAATGTAAAATTTAATAAATCAAAATGCAAATTTAATAAAAGTAAAGTCAATTTCCTAGGACATGAAATAACAAATTTAGGAGTTATGCGACGTCCTCTAAAAGTCTAAAGTAATAGTTTTGAATGAAGGTATTACAAAAAAAAGCATCCCAGAAAAATTAAAAATCAAATAGGTATATTTATTTTCGATTCCGATAACAATATTATTAAACATTCCGGGAATAAATGTTATCACATTATTAGCAGAAAGAAAGAGTTCGGTTTAAAAATTAAGTTTAATTAAAATTAATTATGACTTGTGACTATATACAGCCATATATAGGTGAAACGATAGTAAATTTGTACATAATAGAACTATTATCACTTCATATAGAAAAACTGAAGGAGTTTGCATCGCCACTGGACCAGGCGCGGATCCCGCCTACATTAACGGGAGGGGCGGATTATAAATATCTAAATATATTTTCTATTTACCTACTGGTAAATACGAGAATATATTTATATATATATATATTATAAATATGCAATAATTGCTCATTAATTATAATGAATATTATTTTTCTTAAGCTGAATTGAATGCCTTTATTGAATTATTTACAATTTAAAATTTTTAGGACAAAACCCTATGAGCCGCTCAGCCGCCACCAGTCAGCTGCTAGTCGACGGTCGTCGTCCCCACAGATATATATAATAACTATATAATATATCTGTGGTCGTCCACTCGTCCCTCAATCGGTCATAATAATGTTATCAACAATTTATAAATGTGTGTTATTAAAATAAAATTGATTTGTGACTGAATAATATTACAATACATATTTACATAGGATAACACAAAATATTAAATTTAAATAT